AGAACATGGATCATCTTATATGTCCCCCAAGTACACACATGAACACTCATGGATGCATACAAACAGAGATGTAATCAACACCCAGCACCCTGAAATTAGAACACAGAGGACAGCATTCTTGTTCCATTTCCTCTCTTCCTTTTTTCCCCTTTCCCCATCCCTTCATAGCTTTTCCTGCCATATTCACTGCTGTCACTGCTATCACATGTCACCACTGCAGTAGACAACACTGTGACAGGTCTTCATCCCCACATCAGACCAGGATGCTGACTAAGCTCACACAGCCTAGGCATAAACAGCTGGATTCCAATTCCTGGGATGCTAGACCCAAGGTTTTGTCTTCAAATTTGCCTCCAGGTATCAGGGGAGGGTGGAGGGAGTCTTCCCTTTCTAGGTAAGCATTCTCAGGACAAAAGTTCCTTCCATTTGGGCAAGTGAGGCTTAATTCATTGTCAGCACATAAAATACTAGATACATATCAACTCGGCTCAATACAGCTTGGCTGTCAGCACAATGCACATCTCTCCTGCATTCCAATGTGGATAGAAGAAATTGTACAGAATCACTCCTACAACTTTGTCCCTCCTAGAGACCTCTTCTTTTGTGGTTTTCACTTTTGGCCCTGCACATGCACGCTGTGCATGCTCTCAATCACTCAGCTACACTGCCAATCCATTTTTCATTTTTCTATAAAAATGTGAAAGGTATTTCAAACTTACTAATTTGGGGAAATTATGAGAAGCTAGTGTTAGACACAAAAAATTTTGAATTATACGCATACATAAAATGTATGAAAATTCACACAATAATAAGTTACCTACTATCATTTTCACTTTGGAGAAGACTCTAGAACTTCTCTGTGATAGTTTAAAAGAGAGTAGTCAACAACATTTTCTGAATGCTTAAGATAACTTAAGGACCTTCCAAGTGCAGTACATGCTATGGTCTGAATGTTTATGTCCCCAGGCCTGTATGCTGAAACTTAATTACTAAGGTGTCGGGGTTATTTGGGGGGGTTTCTGGGGAGATCTGCTCTGGAGGTGGAACTCTCTTGGGATTCTTGCTGTTATAAAATAGGCATAAAGAAGCTGCTTTGACATTTAAAGAACTAGCAAGAGACAGGAAGTAGGCCCTTACCAGACACCAAACCTGCTACCAGCACCTTCCCTTCAGGAAGCCCTCAGGACTTGGAGAAATAAGTTTATAAGTCACCGGGTTTAGAGTATTTATTTTACTAGCAGCCTCAAAGGAACGTGATTCCTCATGTAATGAAACCTTCTCAGTGTATATTGATAACTTCTAAATCGCTGAGTATTATTACCCTTAGCAAATAGTCACTTATTGGCCTCCTCAATCTTGCACACACCATTAACTTAGGGAGCAAATTCTCATTTGATTCACCCCACTCGAAACACAACAAAAACCAACCAGACAAACAAATGAGAACTTGAAACTATCAGAAAAAGGAGCTGACAGGTCCTTAGTGCTCTTGAGACTATGCATCTCTGTCTCCTACGATCAACTTCATGTTGCTTGTCTTTCTTTACAGGAGGAGGAGGATTCAGACTCCCAAATCCTTTCCTACATTAAATGATTTGCTTTGGACTCTATTCCATTTCCTTTCTGTTCCATTAAAACAGGACACAATGAACTAGCAATAAAGTCCCCACCAGAGCTCAAACAGTAACACACTATTAATGATAGCCCTTGTAACTGTAGCTAATGCTGTCCACCAAAAGAAAGCCAAGCACTTTGGTTTATGCTAAAATAAAAATACAAATATATATGTCATATAAATAAAATTCCTAAGGCTGGGTAGCTTATAAAGAAAGACACTTGTTTAGCTCATGGCTTTTCTTTTAATTGAAAAATACTTTTTGCCATACAAATTATGCTTTCTCTTTCCTCAATTACTACCAGATCCTCCCTACCCACAAACTTATGTTCTTTTCCTCTCTTTCTTTTTGAAAATAAACAAATATAAACATAAGCAAAAACCAAGAAACATCATGCCCTAAATGGAAATCAGAATAAACAGGCAAAAGGTAAATTAGCCAATAAAGTGCACAAAGAAAGCAAAATTTGACAAGTCGAAAAAAATTCCATTGAGATTGTTTGTGTTGGGCAACTACAAGTGTGGTTGATATACCCAGTAATATTCTATTAGAGAAAACTGATAACTGTTTGTTTGTTTGTTTGTTTTCTTTTGAAGACAGGGTTTGTCTGTAGCTTTGGAGCCTGTCCTAGAAAGCACTCTGTAGACCAGGCTGGACTCGAACTCAGGGATCTGCCTGCCTTTGCCTCCTGAGTGCTGGGATCAAAGATGTGTGCCACTACCACAAGGCACGGATAGCTTCTAGGTTAGGGGTGGAAGAACATGTCTACTTCCTCTTCTCAATGCTGGGACCCCATCTGGCTTGAACCTGTGCAGACCCTGTGCATGCTGCCAGTCACTCTGAGTTCATACGTGGATCAATCTTGTTGTGTCTAGTTTCCTTGGAGTCATCCATCACCCAGTTGTTACAATTTTTCCAACTCTTCTTCCATGTGGATCCCTGAATCTTGAGGGGAAGGCTTTGATGAACACATACAACAGAGAACTTCAAAGTCTTGCACTTCTGTACATTGCCCAGTTTGTGGATCATTGTGGTAGTTCCCATCTACTACAAGAAGTAACTTCTCTGATGAGGACTAGTTCATGCTTTCAAAGGCTGAGCATCCAAACAGCATTGTATAAGCTGTGGTGAGGAACTATACCATAAACGAACTCATTTGAAGCCCCTGACAATGGGAAGTGCAAGGAAATCCCGAAGAGGACATTGGTAAGGGAGTCTCAGGAGTTGGCTCAATGCATAGGTACACACAAGAAGATCTCCCCGTTTGGAAGCCAGAACAAAAATACTAGTCATGAGGAAAGAGCTGTTAGGTAGGAGAAAAGGATGCAGCTGGAGGGATTCACCAGGAGAAAGAACAAGGTAGGGCTGAAAGGCTATGTGGGAAGGTTTTTCAGCTGCAGCATTGCCCAACCTGGGAGCAAAACTACCCATGAATGCCAGTGTTCCCAGCAGTGGGGAGGTCTGACAGGTGGTAAATATCGATAAAGGGAAAAACAACAACCATTTCCATCTTGAAAAAACACTGAATATTCTTTCAGCACATATCCTGGGCTTTTCATTGTGTTGGCCATTTTATCTGTTTCCTTTGCAGAGCTTGGATAAAACTCAGGGCCTTGAGTATTCTAGGTAGTGCTCTACACTGAGCTGCATTCCCAGCCCATATTATTTTCAAAATTTTTGGTTTATTTATTTTATGTTATGTGCACAAGTGTTCTGTCTGCATATGTGTGTACCATGTTCACACCTGGTGCCCAAGGAAATCAGAAAAAGAGAATTGGCTCTCCTAGAACTGGAGTTACAGGCTGTTATAAACTATGATATAGATGCTAGAAATTGAACCCATGTCCTTTGCAAGAGCAGCCAGTGCTCTTAACCATTGAGACATGATGGGAGATATCAATCTGTATATGTTTCTCTTATTGGTTAATGAATAAAGTACTGTTGGCCAATAGGAAAGCAAGATAGGCAGGACTAGGAGACGAGGAGGATTCCGGAAAAAAGTAGGGAGGAGTCAGCATGGAGAGACTGGAGAGAGCAGAACGCCGGCCCCTCTCTCTCCGGTAAGATGAGACCACGTGGAAGTACATAGATTAATAGAAATGGGTTAATATTTAAGACAGAGCTAGATGATAAGAAACTAGTAACTAGCCAACAGAATTTATATCTAATACAGAGTCTCTGTGTGTTATTTGGGGCAGGTGAGGTGGCAGGACCAGGGCAGCAGGGAAAAACCTTATTCATAACAGAGACATTTCTCCAGTCTGTCATCTAAAAATTTTGAAACAAAACAATAAGTGGTAGATGCTTTATGGTGTCCTCTTTAAAAATGATAATGTGGGGGGGGGGGCTGGAGAGATGGGTCAGTGGTTAAAAGCACTGGCTGCTCTTCTAGAGGTCCTGAGTACAATTCCCAGCAACCACATGGTGGCTCACAACCATCTGTATAATGAGATCTGGATCCTCTTCTGGCCTGGAAGCATTCATACAGACAGAATACTATAAACATAATAAATCTTAAAGAAAATTTTTAAAAAATGATAATGGAAGTATAGAGGAAAAGGACATCCAGAAATACTTACCAAACATGGTTACTTATACTACCTCCAAATTATTTAAACTTTATTATTTAAATAGCAGAGACTTAAACAACCTTATATCTTACTGATACAGAAAACTGGCTGCAAGACGTACAGACCCCAGCTCTCACTGACAAGCATTGTAGGAGCTGGTTGGTGAGGTGGCCTGTGTGTGGAATCCCAGACTTCAGAGCTAAGTTTCCTAGGTACATCAATCACCAGCACATTTTTTCTTAATGATAATGTCTCACCCAGCAGGCTGGCCTCCAACTCTCTACGTGTACAAGCATGACCTTGAACTTCTGACCACCCCCCACAACCTCTGCCAACTGCTGGAATTATAGGCACACACTAACATACCTGGTGCTGGGGATGCAGCCAGGATCTAGCAAGTGCTCTACTCCTTCAATCTACCCACATCCCTGACCAGCCCTCCTCTAAGACGCTCTTATACTTTTCTACATTCTCTACTTGTTGGTTCTTTCATGAAGACAATAATGAACCAGCAAATACAAAGCCATGGTGAAAACAGGGAGAGGGCTCCATTACAAATCTACAGAATGTCAGATCCATCATACAGATACTTTTAAAAGGTTATATATAAACTCAACTACCGATTCCATCTTGTGAAACATGAAAAAGCAAGAAAAATCTTAAGAGTTCAAACCATCTACAGTTTTCATAGTGACAAAAAAAGGAAAGTGTAGAATACAGGGACTTCATTAGACAAAACTAAAATAAAATATTCTTATGCCAATAATGGTCTCTGCAGAGGAGACTATATATTTCAAAGCCTTATTTATCTTACCTAATGAAAACCAGTTTGACCCTGGTTGGGGCGGTCTTAATAATGGCAGATGCATTTTGATGACTCCTTCCATAAAGGACCTGATTGTTTATCTGTTTGGGAAAAAAAATAAAATACTTGTAAAAATACAGCCCATATATTTTTTACACAATGAATATATGTATGTATGTATGTATGTATGTATGTGCTTGTGATTAAACAATAAAGTGTGTGTATAGTATTCATTAATGGTAAAAAGTTTCAATATTCTTTATACTACAGGTTCACAAGAGAATTCTAAGCAACTATGAAAAGTCTCCTAAATTCAGCTGTGGCTACAGAGAAAAAGTACTAAACTCCTTGACCCTGTTGCTAAACTTAACTAGAATGGTAGTTGAGCTCAATGCAAAGTTTTACATTAGATAATTCATCTTCTATGGCTTTTCCAGATTCCTAAAGAATGTAGAAAACAACCAACTCCAGTATATACAAAGCTTAGGAGGGCTCACTTAACATGGTACTGCAAGTGTGTCATGGTCATTACATAGCAGATTAATATTAAATACCTGCTTGAAGTTGAATTTTAGGTCAACTAATTATATAGGACATCTTACTGTAGACAACCAATGAGTTATCTGTTTATGTTCAAGGTGTACTGGAATTGTAATTTGACTGGAGTCACCTAAATATGATATAACAGTATATTTAAAATGTTTTCATTTCAGATCTCCCCACTGATATATAACAATTACAATCATTCTCTCTTACCATCCATCCAGTTCTGGTCCCCTCATGTGTTTGATACAGAACTAGTGACCTGTATGGTTATGTTAGCCCTATGTAGCTGTGGCCTTGATAACTTCTACAATCTTAGGAACAGTACAGTACACTCAATTATACTCAAGGGGACTGGAATCTTGAAATTGGTGCTTAATCCATCTGCCCTGGATGTCTCTATAATGTTGAATCTGGACACAATTCATGTATCTTTGAAAACACTATTTCATCACAGTGGCTACAATGAGAAAGCAAAGGGAAATAAACACTTCAAAGTGTGGGATGGAAGCAGAATACTTTTAACTGTCTTTGGAAGCCAGTCCATCCGGGTGCCTAGGGAGGTACAGCCACGGCTAGCAGGCTACTTTTTCATTCTGCCTCTTATTCTGTTGTGTTTTACTCCTGGCTGAGCTCATTAACATCAGAGAAATGCACTGACTCCCACACTTCCAGTTATTTCTGACTTGCTTTCCTATTCGATAAAGGAATTCAAGCAGCTGTTCCCAAGTGGTTCTGAGAAACTACCACAGATCATGGATATGCTCTTGACACCTGAAGGAATTCTCCCTTCACATATTCTGACACTCATCTTTAATAGTCATGCATTTAATAATGTGATTATACCCCAGATTTCCAATACTAATACAAATGTACTAATACTTCCAGAGAGAGGGAGTGAGGGAGGGAGGGAGGGAGGGAGGGAGGGAGGAAGAGAGGGAGGGAGAAAGGGAGGGAGGGAGAAAGGGAGGGAGGGAGGCACACTCTTTTCTTCCTCCTTGGTGCTGGAGATTAAACTCAGGCCCTTCCACACATTAAATATGTACTGCTTGCACACAGCTGAACACTAACCTAAATACCATCTTCTCCAACTTAGTCATCATGCAAAGGCTCTAACAGTAACAAGACAAGCTCTGACTGAACAGTGCCGTGTCCACTGCTGCTGCTTCCTACAGTGCTACAAAGTGGAATACTGGAAACAGAGCAAGCTACTCAAGACACAGGGAACCGGATTTTACTTGATAAAATCTAAAAGGAAAACCTAAGACCTCTAGACAAAAACAAAAAGCTTCAATAACGCCTTCTTTCTGGTTCTAAAAATGATGTAGCCAGGGACCAGTAAGATGGCTTAGTGAGTAGAGGCACTTACAGCCATGTCTGAAGATCTGAGTTTGATACCTGGGACCCACATGGTGGAAAGTGAGAACAGACTCTAACAAGTTGTTCTCTAACACACACACACACACACACACACACACGCACGCACGCACGCACGCACACACACACACCCAAGCACTCATCATCAATTGCATTGGTAGCATTACAAGAAGGCACATGATTTGATGTGGTACTTCATTCCTGTAACCCTCACACCGGCAAGATTGAGGCAAGAGGATTCTGAGTTTGAAGTCAGCCTGGGATACACCAAGAGGCTCTGTTCACCAGAGGGAGTGGAAAGGAAGGAGGGAAAGGAAGAAGTGGGAAGAAGAGAAAAGATGGGAGGAAGGGAGACAGAAGAGAAAGAATGTCTCTGCTATGGGAGGATACAGCAGTAAGGAGGTTGGCTGTCAGGGATCCAGGAAGGAGGCTTCACCAGAGTCCAGAGGCTGGTGCCATGATTCAGGTTTCCCAGTCTCCAGTCTCCAGAACTGAGAAGTAAGTGTGTGTGTGTGTGTGTGTGTGTGTGTGTGTGTGTGACCTCAGCCACATTGGCATTTGTTATAGTCGCTCAAAGTGGTCAAAGTAACAATGGCAATTGCTTGAACTAATTTCTGCTCTTTGAAATGCATTAACTCCACTGACGCAGTTTCTTGTCATTCTAAATATCTATGTTAAACCTAACCTTTGCAATCTCAGAGTCTGATGCTCTCAGATACCCAGATCTTTGCCTTGGAACACACAAAGAAGAAAAAGGAGATAGATTTTCTGTCACAGGAAATTTCTATGAGGCATTTATTATTATTATTATTATTATTATTATTATTATTATTATTGATTATTGTTATTGTGGTACTGGGAATTGAACCTAGGACCTATTCAGAACATGCTAAATAGGTGCTCTACCATTCAGGCATATCCCCAGCCCAATCTTTCTTTGTAACTATTTCCTTTCCTGCCTGCTCATATCCTTCTGCCTGCCTGCCTGCCTGCCTGCCTGCCTGCCTGCCTATCTATCTATCTATCTATCTATCTATCTATCTATCTATCTATCTATCTATCTATGTATCTACCCACCTATCATCATCATCTAATCATTTATTTAGAGACAAAGTCTCACTATGTAGCTTAGGCTGACTTGGAATTTGTCATGTGGTTCACGCTGGCTGTGAATGATGCTCCTGCCTCAATGTCCTGAGCACTGTGATTAAAGGTACCCATCACTCCATCCCATGCCTGACCAGCCATTCTGGTTTGCTGAGTGGCTTTTGGGTTTCATCTTCCTATCACTGACAATGGGGGACTTCTATAACCCTCTAGATACTAACTTCTGTCTTCAGCTCTTGACCCCTGGTCCCAGAAAGCAATAATAGATATATTTGGTGAGCTAATTTTCTCCCACGCTCTATAATTAAAATCCCATTCATGAACAAGTTATAGCAACTGTGGATTCCAAGGTTCCAGGCTACAGCCATGCCTGCACTGTCAAAGCTAGTGAGTCACACTGAAGGTTTCCATGCACATGCTTTCCCTCTCAGGGGTGGCTTTCTGCCTCCATAGTGAGGAAAAGCAAGACCAGGGTGGGATAATCAATCCCAGTATTCGTAGTTTGCAGCAGAAGTAGAATTAGGGCTAATCTAGTGCAGAATCGGCCAAAGTAAATGGATGTAAATTCTTTTCTAACACTGTACAAACTTTCACTTTAAAGGTCTTTAATGAGGTTGGTTTGTTTCCATCAAATTAATTATGCAAAAATATTAAAGAGAAAAGTTTTCAAGTACCCCTAATTTTCCATATTTTGTCTGAACAGGAATATAAATTTATGCTGAAAGCAGCTCAATTCAATCTACTCAAACAGCATATAAAATTGGAAGTAAAAGTTAATTAACTTAAGCTAAAGTTGAAAATGTTAATTATACAAAATTAAAATTTAGTTCAAGAAACAGATTTGCCTAAGATTTGAACATCATGTCATAATTTACTTCACTCAACTATCTCCCCCCCATGCTTTCTTTTTTAAAGCAAAACGATCTATTATAGAAGCTGATAAACTATTATTGGGGAGCTGAACTGAAACTCATTATGTGAGTGACTGACAATGAAATTGGAGCCCTTCCCCCATCTTTACTTTGAACATCTGAACATCATAGTTTAAGACATTAGAATCTATTCTTTAACTTTTAAGACAATGTTTATTGAATGTAAATAACAAGGAAGAAAATCAACACATTATATTTATAACCATCACACCTATCAAAATTTCATCCATGGAAGAACATTTCAAACCTCTAAACTTTATTTTGAGACAAGGTCTTAATGAACTGCCTTAGATTACAGGCATATAGCACCATACCCAACTGCCAGATAACTCTTGGTTAAATAATTCTGTTTCATGGTTTTATACTTAGGCATTAAAATGTCACCCTAGGGCTGGAGAAATGGCTCAGTGGTCTGCTCTTCTAGATGTCCTGAGTTCAATTCCCAGCAACCACGTGGCAGCTCACAACCATCTGTAATAAGAACTGGTGCCCTCTTCTATCATGTAGATAGAACAATGTGTACATAATAAATAAATCTTTAAAAAAAAAAAAAGTCAACCTAGCTATACTTTGACTTAAGAAAAAGCAGGAAAACTAGGTTTAATCCATCTGTCACCATGGCAACAATTGAAAACAATCACCCTAAAAAGAGCTGATGAAGGTCACATCTACCTTGATGCATGGTCATAAAAAGATAGTAGTATTCAGTGGAAAATGTGTCAGATAACCACTTCTAAAATAAAAGCTCCTGTGTGGGTCTAAAGAACAATACCCAACATGTGGGCTCTGTAGTGACAGTTTTTGGTATCTATATTTTAAATTTTTTTATCACATTTTATTTTTTTTGTGTGTGTACACACACACACATATGCCTGTCATGACATGAACATGGAGGCATGAATGTAGTCTTCTCCCTCCACCATGGGCTCTGGGGATCCAGGCCAGGTCTAGTGTGTGTGGCAAGTGCTTTCCCACTGATCATCTATGGAACGGTATATGCTTGTGATCACAGCTTAGGGAGGCTGACTCAGGTATGTGGACTGGAAGTTAGCCTGGGCTACTTTGTGACATCTGTGTGTAAAACACAGCTTTGGAATAATCAACAAATAATCATATCTTCCTTAAAAAATAAAGAAATAAAA